AAATTTGTAGCCAATTTATGCACACCAAGGTCCCGCAAGCAGCCTTAAACTGAATGACCAATTTTATTTGGGGAAGGGGATTGTTCACCAGGAAACCATGAGAACTCCCTTCTCTTTTTCAAAACGTACCATGGGATCTTTAAAGTTCACCTGAAAAGGCACCGAAGACCTTGATTTAACGTCTCATTCGAACAACCCCTGCAAAGCATTGGAGTGTCAGTTTAGACTATATTGGTTCCAAGTTCTGATGTAGGGCTTGAACCCACAACCTTCTGACTCAGAGATGAGAGTCCTACCAACTGAGCCAGGCTGACACACACACACACATACTATGGTGGGATTGGGAGGGGAGAGGGTAAAGAAAGAATATACCTGAAGCACATTGGGGTTCACAAACAAAGAGAAGTCAAGCTGTGGAAGCATTGTACCCAGTTTTCCTCTTTTTTCTGTGCTGGTAGACTTCAATAGCCTCTTTCTCAACAAAGCCTCTTGTTTTCCCTTTTACAAAGGCAGAGCGTGAGCTCTAGGGAATCTCAAAGTATCCATTAAGAGAAATTGCCTTACAGGAATCAGCCCAACAATACAAATACATATATCTTTAAAATAATTTCTAACTCACACCATATTGAAGTTTCACATTCTTGAGCTATTTGTGGAAGCAATTTTGCACCGGGTATGTTTTTCACAGTTCTTAAGGTTTTGGCTGCATATCAGATATTTATTCTACTGGAAGGAAAAATGGTGCAGGTTTTGAATTTCATCGCTTGTGCATATGACTGAACTATGCAAACCTTACAATTGAGGCCCCAACTTACTGACAAGTTATGGAGTTAACTAGAAAAGGCGAGAAATTGGATTTAACTCTATCGGGTTAAATATGATGTATTAAACAGGGTTAGATATGACGTACTAAATATTAAATATGTAAGCTAAAATGCCTTTGCAATTTAGGGTGGTATGGAAATAGTGTGTTAATATTGTATGGAAAAATCCTGTGCGTGATTTGCTACCATTTTGGGGGGATATTGTACTTGCGTCTAGTTAATGGAAAGGTCCTGGTATAACCACATGATTCGGAAATTGAGTCATTTAATCTATGCGTGTGTCAGCCTGGCTAAGTGGTAGCTCTTTCACCTCTTTCACCACCGTCAGGAGATTGTGGGTTCAGGCCCCACTTCGGGACATGGAATCACATAGTCTAAGATGACACTGCAGTTCAGTGCTGGGAGTGCTTTGCGTTGTCTGAGGTGCCATCCTTCGGATGAGATGTTTTAAACCGAGGTCCCATCTGCTTGTTGATGTGGATGTTAAAGATCCCATTGCACTGATCAAAAAGAGAAGGGAGTTTCTATTGATGTCCTGGCCAACAATCTGCCTCAAAGTAAAATTGTTCACTCTCTTGATAGCTGTTAGTGGGACATTGTTGTGTGCAAACTGGTTGCCACGTTTCACCCACAAAATACACAGTCAATCCACTTTACAGTATATCCTGTGAAACGCTTTCAAATGTCTCAACGAGATGATGCAGCACTTTATCAAATGTAAGGACTATTATTAGTATGACATCAAGCCTGTATGTACGAGTGCACAAGGCTCTTTGGAACAGCATAGTTGTTGTGCTGCTGGTGAACTCCACTGAACTTTGGAAAACTATATCCAGGTAGGAAATATGAATGTGCAGTACAATGAAAAGACTAAGTACCAATATTAGGTTGAGAAATAATTGCATTGATAGTAAAATAACAATAGTATTAACAATATTTATTTCCCTAGCAATGTGCCTTCCATCAGGGTGCTTTGCTGTGGGTTTCCTCTTCCAAGCTCCCACTGTGTGCGTTCATAAGCTTGACAAAAGTGCACCCGATGCCTGTGTGAGAGGGAAGGAGACCAAAAACCCCGAAGATGTGTGTCACCTAGGTAGAAGGAAGGAGAAAGAGGAGGCAGTGGTCAGTGACTTCACTCCCTATTGTCTCTATTTACCCCAGACACTTCCAGACACCCATTTCTGAAGGTTTTCCACTGTGTAGCCACACTTCCCGCCCACTTTCCTCTTCATTTCTGCAGTACTCAATGTTAAGAGCATAAGAATTTGTTACGAGAAAGAAGACCAAGGTCCATCTAGTTCGCCTTACACCATCCTGATGGTCACTTGACATGTTGTATCCCAAACTACTGTATCCTGAGATATTATTTCCCAGCAGAAATGTATCTACTTTGTTCTTGAAACAAATGACATTTTCTGCTTCCACTGTCTCCCCAGGGAGCCTGTTCCATAAGTTTACTACTCACTCACTGAAGTAGTGTTTCCGCAGATTTGTTCTGAATTTACCCCCCTTCCTCTGGTTCTACTGTTCAGTGCATTAAATATGTTCTACCAAATGCTATTCCATTGTCTACCTTTCTGTCTGAGCTGCATTGACCTGCATCCAATTGTACTACTTGATGCGGAGCTGGCCCTTTTGGCAGGGCTGGGACCTTGTATTAGAAAGAGGATACAACGCCACCCTTCCTCTACATCTCCTTCTTCCCTGCCCTCCCCTTACAGGCAAAAGATGGCAGTAACATCCTGCTCAAAGATCTCCCACAAGCTACTGGCTCTGTCACTGGTGCTGGAACCCAGATGTAACAGAACAAGCGGAGGGGGTGCTGCTAGAAAACAAATGAGAAGCACATGTGCAATGTTCAGTGCCAAAGCAGAGGTTCCTATTGAAGTTCATTATGCAGGCCAGAAGCAGCATGCCTTCCATGAGTTATAGCTGCATAGTCATCATTAATACATTACCTGGTACTCCCTGGCTGGCTCCAATGTCAGACTCTTACTGAGCTGAAGGATGGTGATGAGAGGCTCAATTACAGCCTTGACCCCTGGCAGTGACTGAGCAACATGTCTCCCTCTTCAGGGTTCGGTTGATATGTACAGATTATTATTATTATTATATATTAAGGTGATTCTCTATAAACTCCAAAGAATATCATTGCAACAATTGGCCTGAATCTTTAGATGTAATGTTACCCTTAGGCTTCATCCATCATGAGTTGAGCATGTTTTCTGTATATAAAAAGATATTAACTCCACTATGCTTGCCCTTCATTGCACCCAGCTGGTATTTTTTTCCCTCTTGTTTCCACCTATAGATCTCTGGATTTTAGCTGTTTAGTAACCCATGCAATAAAAGAATGGATTGGTTAAAGTGTAGTCCAGACTCATTCATATTCCAACATGTTCCAGTCCTTACTAGTTACCCTTGCGGCATTGTTTTGACATTTTTCACAGAGCTGCCAACTCCTGCTCTTTTTGAGTAAAGCTTGCTCAGATTTGTTTGAAAGTGCTCATATTTGTTCCATTTCTATATATCTAATTGTGAAAATAAACACTATGTTGAAATAGAAAAGGAAGTCGCTCAGGATTCAGGAAAATATTTCATTTTTAAGAAAGCTAGAAAATAATTATCTAACCCTAATATCTAGCTTTTCTTTACTATATTATAGATTGTTTTGGATGAGTGAATGTAGCAATAATAGAACACCATAATAATAGGAATCCTTGCATTCAATATAGCCCCTATAATGCTGAACATCTCAAAAAACTTCATAAAGTTACCGTAAAGCCCAGTGACTGGGCAACCAAACTAGTCCCTGGACAGCAGTATTGGTTATTAATGGAGTATGAGTCCGTATAGGTTTGTTTATCTCACATAGGCTGAAATTACAGTCGTATAACGCTTTTTGAAATGCGCAATTTTAATGAGGGAAATCCTGAGAGGTTTTGACATTGCCAAAGGACCTATGTGTAACTGCGATTGGAATTTCAACCCAATGTTCCCTGTTCTAAACCAGGCAGACATTACTCTATGGATAGACACGTGCTGTGTGAATTGCATTAAGTGACTCAATGTATTGTGAACCAATATAACAAGGAACAAAACCAAGCCTCCACATACACATGTACATACCAGCATGGATTGCACACACACACAGTGGAGTCCAGAATAGACCTGCTAAAAAATTAAGTTAATATTTCATAGTCTATAAAACACAAAGGTGTCCTTGGCTTCAACATGATTTAATTTTGCAGCACCATTCGGTTTGTTTGAATTTTTTGTGTTTCACTTTAATTCAAACTGATTGCAAAGTTTGGGAATCATGAAAGCTATTCCAAAAAAAATGCACGTCAGTGATGCAGTTCCTTCATTGCTGAAGCACTTACAACAGTTTACTGTGCAAATTAGATTCCAGCGGGTGTTAGGAAGAAACCAAAATACGTTCTGTAAGTTATCAAATCAAGACAAAATAAATCAAAGTGAATGAGCATAATTCAGAGGAAATGATTCCTTTGGAGATTTTGACTGTAAATCAGGGCTAAAGATTGGCTTAGAATGTCTAAATCTGGGAAGAAAAGAAGTGTATGCCGAATGTCATAATGATCAGAATATTAATGTAACATTTTTGAGTGCCTTCGTCGGATGTGATGCTAATTAGGAAAGTAAGTATTGCAGTGCACAATTCCAGTTTAGATTCCATTCTTGCATGAACAAGTTGCAGAATAGGAGACAGTGAAACGTATCAGACTTTTTAAAATAACATTGGGTGAACTTTCTACCAGAGAAGCTGGTAGAAAATCTGTGATGTTTCAATGTTCATTTCCGTTTCCTACTGGGACACTATGCAAAACCCATATCTATTATGTTCTGCTATTTGATTTTCATGGAACAAAATTGGTTTGAAAATAATAAACAGGGCTGGGAAGTACACCAAACCTATAAGACCCTAGAATTGAAAATAATATTTTAAATCTCTTTCAAGACCAACTAAAATATTATGATTTTAAAGCTGTACTAATAATGTAAGCCAATTTTGCTACATTGAATTTTTTTTAAAGAAATCTTATCCGGTTAATGTAAAGAATTAACATGTGATTTTTTTTTAATATTTGATTAAAATCATCAGTGTGAATTGAATGAGTTGAAACCTGTTCATGAGATCCATCTTATTTCTGTTAGCCATCAGGAAAGGTTAATCACATAGGACCAAAACACAGAAAGCCAGACGTAATTACCTCAGCTCCAGGTAAGCACTTTGAATATAGTAAACTTCTTTTGCAAAATACATTATTATAACGCAGTGGTTTGGGGGTCCATAGAAACAAACCTTGTGTTATAATGAAGTGATTGAAACATGGCCACCAGTTAGTGCTTCTGAGTAATCAGGGCGCTGTCAATGTCACTTCCTGAGCATTGTGCATGTGTGTTATGTGCAAGAGATGTTGGTGAGATCACTTCTTGGGTGCTGCACATGTTCACCTTACGCAGGAAAGTAGCCAGTCAGCAAAGCATGTGTACCATGGACTGTGCTGTAAGTAGACCTGTGCTATACGAAGGACCTGCTATAGCAGAGTCTATAATCATAAAGGATAATTATTTTCTAGTTTTGTAGCTTTAATTTGGGATCTTGGGACGTCCTCCCAACGTGAAAGGCGCTATACAAATGTAATTTTGTATTGTATTGCAATTGTCCCTTTGGACTTTCTGTTATTTGGAGTAGATGTGCAGCTGAGCAATTAAATATGTATGATATTGAAAAGCACTGATGCGACCACTTTGACTTTGTGAAACTATGATGGAAGAGAACATTATTCTCCACCCACCTGGGATAAAGTTTTAATTGGTTCTATGTCTTGTATGTTTGTATAACTGTATATAACCAGTCCTCAAGGTCATGATCTTTAATCTTCAAACTGTGGTGAGTCTGGAAACATTGGGTGAGTTTGGGATTGTGCTTCTTGTGTTTTGTCTATGTATCTAGGAGACAGCGATCAAACAAACAATTTCTATGTTAACGTTTGATGGGACAATATTTAATAGCTTATGAATGGAAAGGCAGTAGGGGTGCATTTTCCACTGGCTTTCAATGGGGTAAAAAAATCTTCATTCTCTGCTGCATTGCCAAACTGGCCAATGCTAAGAAACAGAATCAGCGTTTCTGACATAAGAAAATCACATCTAGACTAAATGAACCACAGTGAATGAGCATAATTCACTGGAAATGATTCCTTTGGAGATTTTGACTGTAAATCAGGGCTGACAATTGGACTTAGAATGTCTAAATCTGGGCAGAAAAGAAAATGTAGAGCAAGGCATTGATTGAACTATTAGATGAAGAATTAATGGCAAGAAAGACAGGACTGCTCAGGAACATATAACCTCTTAATCTGAAATCCAGAGGGACATGTAGTAGGCTACATGTTGTAGATTAAAAGCAATATGATGAGAGAGATAAATACAATGCATACCTGAGGGAGAAGGGAATAGAGCCGTATAGAGAAGATGATTAGGATGAGCAGAAGCTCATGTGGAGTATAAACATTGGCATAGACTAGTTAATTGGCTGACTGGCCTTTTTCTGTTTCTGTGCTGCAGATTGTTATATTATGTAACTGATTAAAAGAACCAGCGGGTTCCATAGAAAAGGTTTGACATTAAATATTCTGAAACAAAAATGAGCTTTTAATAAAAGAATGTCCAGAAAAAGAAGAGGTGAACGATAACCTGAAAGTATTATCTGTAGCAAAGACTTCCTTTTAATCAGTTACATAATATAACAATCTGCAGCACAGAAACAGAAAAGGCTTGCGAGGTGCTGGACAGCTGGAGCTTAGAAATGATTATAAATTCAGGTACGTTTCCTATTACGTTCATCATATCCACTAGTGTCATTTTGCAATCATTTCTTTTTAAGTTTTGCCAATGCAATGAATATGCAAGGTACTTAAAACGATTCCAAATCAATTATTTATTAATGCACAATTAGGAGAGAAGTGAAGATGGTCGATCTGGATTAACTCCTTACTAATTGTTTTATTTTTGTCTGTAGAGATACACCTTCAAATGTTTGACTTATCTCTTAGATGTTGCCTGCACCATCAAAGGTTTCACAGCAACCCCAGGACCTAGATCAATCCTAGCAACCTCTGCATTGCTGAACACGGTAGCAGAAAAAACAAATTGTATTGCATTCACCAGTATGTCAATGAGAGCTCTTGCATCACAAGCAGTGATTATGTACCCAGCATACGAACACTTAAACGGCACAGAAGAGCTGGAACTATTCTATGTACCATTTCACTTGAATTGGATAGAAATACTACGGGTCCCAGGTGTTGTTAGATAGGAAACATCTTTGTAGGAAAATATGGTATAGATATTGATCCCCCCCAACCCCCATCCAAGAAGCCTTCAAGAAACGATTTGAAAGCCTGAAGCAATTCCACAATCCTTGGGTAAAGGAATGAAGAATATTCCAAGCTCTTTCCTTGAGCGCAATGTTCCTTTGGCCTCCTGAACAACGACGACGACAAAAACTATTTGCATTTATATAGCGCCCTTCCCGCGGAGCCCTTCTGAACAGTTGCAATGTTGACTATTAAGGATAACGATGCAAGTATGCTGGTATGCTAGTGACTGCTGTTGATTCAGAAATGGCTCAAAGATTGACTCTTGTTCTACGTCGGTTCTGAGGGAGCAGATTACTGACCACAGGCAAGGAATTAAATCATCACTGAGAGAAGAGTTTGTTGAGATTGGACAAGCATTGCAGTATAATCGTGGAGTCCTGTAGCTCAGTGGTTAGAGCACTCGCCTTGCAAGTGAGAGACCTGAGTTCGATTCCTGGCAGGGCGAAACCTTGGGCAAGTTTCCTTACTCCACATGCCTGATAATAATCCCTCATGAAAATAGAAAACAAAACAATAAAATTGGTCACTTCAATCCACGACTGTTTGTGGGACACTGCTGTGCACAATATAGCTCTTTTCACATCTTCTAGAAGTCTCAAAGTGCTTCACAGAATATGCTGTAAAGCGAATTGACTGTATATTTGTGGGCAAAATGCGGCAGCCAATTGCACACAGCCATGTCCCACAAACAGTCATGGATTGAGTGACCAAATTATTATTTTTTTAAGGATTATTATCCCCGGAAAAGTGATTTGTCAATCGACTAACAACCAGGTTCCTACTTTCTGCTCGGTAAACAGAAGCGTGTGGGGTAAAGAAAATTCCCCAACAATTCGTCCAGGTCTCTTGCTTCTGAGGCAAGTGCTCTAACCACTGAGCTACAGGTCTCCACAATAGTGTACCTCTGCTGAAAAGAAATGTACATCTGCTGAAAGAAGTTGCTGGAATAGACCAGAAATATAAAAACATCAAGCGCTGATTGCGTATGCATTTTTCATTAGAAATTACTTTCTGGGCTTGCTGTCAGTCATTTATAATATCTGAGAACGCTCAAAGTTGACAAAGTGAATTGGCAAATTGCCTGAATGAAATGTATAGAGTTACTTCTTTTGATTCCAAGAAATTATTTGGAATTTTTCTGCTAATGCTATGATCATACTTAAAACTATGCAATTGTTTCACGCTGCTCAAAATTAATCTATTGCAAACCACACATCCAAAGCAACTCTTATAATCAGGTCCTGACAGTAATAAGAAATAGAAATTCGAATTGCCACTTTAATTTGTTGTGGAAAATCTTTAAGTGAAGTGAATTTTATAGGCACAGTTCCCGAATTTTCTGGCCAAATTCTGGTATTGTTTGCTTTATGGTGCATTGAATGTAATCACTCCTTAACCATCTGCAGAAGTACTTATCTTAAAACTGGGTTTTATAACCTGTAGAAAGACATAAAGTTCTTGCAGATTTTTGGCCGTCACTTTGTAAAGCTTTACCCACGTTTATCTGAGCCACTTTGTAAAGCTTTACCCACGTTTATCTGAGCCAGTACAGTCGGTCACCTGGTTCAAAGTATGTGGACTTTGGAGCAGTGTCATGAGCGTTTTAACCACAAAAACTGTCAATAACCCAATGACCAAATATCCATGGAACACAATGATTCCTGTGCTGTGATGGAGCTGGGCTAAAAGGGAGACAGGATATATTGGTTGAGGGTGAAATTTATGTTTTGTGCCCTCTGTGAGAGGAGCGGTCTTCATGGAATGATTGATTAATCCTTTATTTCCAATGCTCGTTATCTCCTGCTAAGAACTGGCTAAAATTGGTTACTCCACTGCCCTCCTTATTCCACAATAGTCCTTGCATTTGATATTGTGCCTTTCGTGTCAGGAGGACAACTCAAAGCACTTCGCAGGATTGTTTAATGTAGTGATTGTATTTCGTAGGCAAATACAGCAGCCAATTTGAACATAGCAATGTCCCACAAACGGTCACGAAATGTAGGATCAATTTTACCTGGGGGATTGTTGGCCAGGACGCTGTGAGATTCTCCCATTTATTTTTGAATAGTGGCGAAAGATCTTTAACATCCATCTGACAGGCAGATTCGGACTTTGATTTAATATCTCAGCTGATGGACAGCACCTTCAACAGTGTAGCCCTCCCCCTGACTGCATTGGAGTGTCAGCCTACACAATATGTCAGTTAAAAGACCCAATGTGGGGCTTGAACCTGTAACCTTCTGACTCAGAGACGAGAGTGCTACCAACTGAGTCAAACTGACAGGTTCAATCAAAGACAGATCTGTTTTAAGTTCAAACTCAATGAACTTTTCCTTGACTGAAACCTTTTAAATACCGTTGTTGTTTAAAACTTCTGCATGAAGAATAGATTGTGTCAGAACATTAAAGTAACACGCACACTCCTTGCTACAGAATTCGTTATGTAAACCAAATCAGTGCCTGTTTGTTCAGCAGAACATTCAGGTATGCACTTGGGAGAGCTCCTTAATTATGTTACAGCTTTCGTTTCTTCCAAAATGCATGTGACTGTATGTCTTCATAATAATGTATATCATGTTTCAAATGATTCCACGGATCCGACACTCACTCCATTGCCCATAGTGCTGAAGTTATCGCAGTATTGTAAGCAAGGCTATAAATCACTGACTTGGCTTGAAAAAACATTTTTGAAGCTTACCTTTTTAAGCATTATGCTTAACGCAGCTGGCTGAAAGTTTTACCTAGGCAATAATGAATCCAGGATCATGTCAATCTTGCCTCTGGGTTAAAAGGCTTGGGATTCACCTGCATTCAGTGGCTTGAGTTTGTAAACTAGGCTGATATTCCAATGCGGTCTTGAGGCAGCATTGGTTGAAGCTGTCATCCTACGGATGAGATATTAAACTGTTCTGGTTATTCAGTTTGAAAATAAGATCCTATCGCGCTCCGAGACAACGTCCGGTGTGAAGGACTCTATATAAATGCAAGTTGTTGTTGTTGTTATAGCATTGCTGCAAAGATCAGGGAGTTTTCCTGTTGTCCTGGTCAATATTTTTCGATTACTCAAATTCAGATATGTTTTTTAGCTCATTTCAGTTTGTTGGATATTGTTTGTTCTGATTAAGTATTGAGTTTGCCTATGTGATAAAAGTCACTGCAATTCAGCTCAAAAGTAATAAAATCTTCTGTCAAATGCTGGTTTTAGCATTTGTGGCTGCAACCACAAATCTAAAAAACTTACCTCTCTGTCTATTGATAGTTAATTATGAACAACAGAGGAAACAACCATTCAAAGCATTCTCAGATTAAAATAAATGGCCATTACCAATTGGTAAAGATTTTAACAAAATACGGGTTGTTATTATGTAACATTTTTGAGTAGTGTTTGCAGGTTTAAATGACCCTTAAAAAATGATTGGCTACATGCACAGATAAGCACACCAGTTTAGTGCCTCAGCTCAGTGAGCTGATTTCAGCATTGAGTGCCCTTGGATAGGTGATGGAACCTACACTTTTACTATTGTCAATCTTGTGCATCAAAGGTGTGAATTTAGCATTAAAATCTGCTTTGGTAGCATTATTTGCACTCATCTCAAACAAGCTGATGTAGCTGTATAGCAACAACAACAAAATTACATTTGTAGAGCGCCTTTCACATCGAGAGGACTCCCAAGGCTCTGGACAATCAGTGTTTCAGATTCAAGTTGGGGTCGGGATCGGGGAGAGTGGAGGACAGGGGGGAAGGAGGGTGATCAAAGGCATGGTTGAAGAGGAGGGTCTTGAGATGGGTCTTGAAGGAGGCAAGGGACTGTGGGGTGGAGTTCTAGAGGGTGGGGGCAGAGTGGCTGAAGGTCCGCACGCCAATGGTGGGGCAGGCGAGGTGGGGGGCGTGAAGCAGGCCGGAGCCTGTCCAGCAGAAGGAGAGGGCAGGCTGGTAGGGGGTTAGGAGGTCGCAGAGTTAGTGGGCAGCAAGTCCATGGAGAGCTTTGAAGGTGAGGACCAGGATCTTGAACTGTATCCTCTGTGTGATGGGAAGCCAGTGGAGTCAAGCGAGAATGGGGTTGATAGGGTCAAGGAGCCTGCTGCGGGAGAGGAGAGTTCTGGATGATCTGCAGTCTGTGGAGGGAGGAGTTGGGGAGGCTGACAAGCGGGAAGTTTGCGTAGTCAAGCCTGGACGTTATGAATGCGTGAATGAGGGTTTCGGCGACCTACGGTGTGAGACAGTGGCGGAACCGGAGATGTTGCGGAGGTGGGGGAGGGCAGGGCGGGTCATGGCACGGATGTGGGTAGAAAGGATAGTTGAGGGTCAAACACGATGCCAAGGTTCCTGACTGGCTTAGTAAGGTGGAGTGTGCAACTATGGATGGTGATGCTGTCGGCACCTGCTCGGGTCCTGACCCTACTGTACAGCGCCTTGGGACGTCCTCCCGACGTGAAAGGCGCTCTATGAATGGAATCTTGTTGTTGTTGTTGTTGAGGTGTGGAGGTGCTGAAGTGAGTCAATCAGGAGAGCCTCGGTCTTGTTGACGTTCCTATTAGCATTTTTCCAAGTCTTGTGAATGACAGACTGAGTGTCTGTCCTATGTCTGTATTGCTTTGCTACAGTTAAAATGTATCCGATTTTAATTCATTGGTTTTAGAAACAGGCTTTTCGCATTTGAAGTTCATGTTTAGTTCAAGGTGCATTAATAAAAGAATTCCCTCGTCATCTCCACAGCTTAGTCATCTTCTTCCAGTTTGCTGAAGCAGTCATCTCAGTGAATGCTAGAGAAAATAAAGGGGCAATTAATTCGGGATGAAACTATTAGGTTGTGCCCAGGGTACAAAATCCTGATCCGACACTGGAGCCTTCACATGAGTAACCTCCACTGGACTGCTTTGTAGAAACTGGAGAATAGGAATGATGGAGTGATCTGTAATAGGGTTCTGCAATTGTCCCATCAGTGACACATTAGCTACAGAAGGTGAATCGGGACCCTTTCAGCAAAACCACTGCCTTTGCAGAGGATGGAGAAGGAGCGTGTTCAGTGGAGGAGGATGCTCTTGTGTTTCATCAGGCTATTCAAAGTGTTGAGCTCAAACAAGAAACAATGTGAGTAGCTTTCCAGACAATTTGGTCACTGCCTGGAGACTACAACAACGAATTGCATTTACATAACGCCTTTCACATCGGGAGGCCGTCCCAAGGCACAACAAAAATCGGCACTTCACCCATCTTGTACGTCCAGTGTATTGTATTGTATTATATTTTATTGTATTGTATTATATTGTATGATGTCACTGCAATTTCTCTTGAGTCTACCTGAAGGCATTTTGGTGGAGTTTCTGGGACCACATCTAAATTGTTCTAAGTTTGAAGTGCTTGTTGGCTTCATCCAGGGTAGATCCTTTAAGGAATTGTTTGATGTTTTTCTCTCGTGTTTCATAAATAAGGACGTGTGGAAAGTAGGATGAATATGAATGAACAAAATCATTACTTTTTCATATAGTTTTCACTGAATTATAAAACAAATAATTTGCTCCCATTTTTCTTTCCTCTATTGCCTATGTTGAGTCCAATTTGTGATTATGCTGTTTTTGTAATGGCTGTTGCAGGTGCAGATCTATTAGTTTTCGACACCTTAAAGTCCAATCGTAATCCTCCATCTAAAGGTAAGATTCAAACTAAATGAAGCTTTGTACTGAGTTGTGGGCAGATTGTCAATGTGCCATCTTTTGTGTCAGAGACTATATTGGTCCTCTCAGTGTAATGAACACGATCTATAAAAATAACAATCCTTGCATTTGATATAGCGGCGTATTACTTTGTTGAGATGTCTTAAAGCGCTTCACAGGATACACTGTAAACAAAAACAACAACAATTTGCATTTATATAGCGCCACTCACACAGGTTAGCATCCCAAAGTACTTCTTGAATTGCTCACCACTTGTAAAGTAGTGTGACTTTGTGTATTTTGTAGGCAATCTAGTGATCCCGGCAGTGAAAAGAATACTAAAGAATTTCTTAATTACCATGAAATAAATAAGATGAAATGAAATAAAACTGAATCAAGTTATACCGTTGTACAGATGGGTATGAGAGAGGAATTATGATGCTACTGAGTAGAAGTTTTTCGAACCGCTTTTATTCTGATCTTAATATGAATTGAAGCTAGTTCAAGGAAGAAATTTTAAAAAAGGGGTAAGATTATTACGCTGCCAAATGCTTTTTTTTACCAGGGACGTAGAAATCAGGTAGAGAATTCCACATTAAAAAGAACATTGACCGGATTCTTTGCCTAAATGGGGTCTGCTTCCATTGTTATTCCTATTTTACTGCTCCGATTTAGCTACAAGTATTAACCTTTGAGCAATACGGAGAAACAAAGCGTGACACAGAAAGCATACATGACTGCTTAGAAGTCATGTGCTTGATCCTGTCTGAAACATGCAGTTTTCTCCAGAAGAATGTGTCTTTTTTATAGAGCTGCAGCATCTGTCATGCAGAGGGATATTGGTGGGCAGACCAATTCCACTCTGTGGCACTCTGTTTGTGCCTTAGAGGGACTCTGGGTCCTACATTATTTCTCCGTTTCACAACAGCTGGGATTGGTAATTGGTCACCACTAATACACTGAACAAAAAAACATATGGAATCATACTGGACTGACACCAAACATGATGTCACCTACCACTCGCTCCTGTTTGTGCCACATTTCTTCCCTCCAGCAACCTGAATTATTAAGGGCAACCATTTTCAACGCTGTCGAGCAGCAGCTTATTAAAATTAGTACCATTATAATCTCCACAATATAAAAGTTCCTTCATGCATAGTTACCATTTTACTGTTACATTTATGGCGCTCTCCTTGATTTCAACTCCATCCCTGCACTGAAGTCATAGGTTGAACTGTGGCCTTGTTCCACAGTTTCCTTTCAATTTACGATATTATTGAGTGGAATATTTCTGATGGAAAGAAGAGCACAACCTTGCCAATAACATTTGAGATCCAGCTTTCGGGATTTTAATGCTATTTTTTTCAATGCAATTTTTTTTTGCAGGCAAGTTTCAACTTCTTCAGAGAGTTTTTGAAACTCAGTTAACCCCAGTCCACAAGTGTAGCTTTCCTATCGCCATGGATGGCTTGCCTCGACTTGGACCTGTGCAGATTTTCCTCTGTGCCTTAGTTTTGAAGTTTAATTCTTATATATTGCAGAATAATAATCCCTCCAAAAAAAACAATAATAAATTGGTCATTTTCAATCTACGATTGTTTGTGGGACATTGCTGTGCGCAATTGGCTGCCGCGTTCGCCCACAAATATACAGTCAGTTCACTTTACAGTATATTCTGTGAAGCGCTTTGAGACGTCTAGAAGACATGAAAAGCACTATATCAAATGCAAGGATTATTATTATTATTATTAAGTGCTGCAGATGGGACCTTTGTGTTATTCATTGTAACGCCATACTGCTCTCCATTCACTCACATGGTTGATTGTAAATTGCAAATACTGTTGAATATCAAAGTTCTCAAACTTGAGCTTTTTCAAGGAAGCTTTCATAGTCGATCCAGTCATGCAGCTATTTATTATTTATTCTTTGCTCATTCATAATGCTCCGAACCAAGTGGACGTGTACATTTGGAATGACGTTGTTGTGTGTTTTTCTTAATTAAATTAGATTAAATGTCAGAGCCCCTTTAATACTCAATTATTTTACTGTCAGACTTGCAAATTGTCTTGGAGATTAGTTTGGGAATCACCTTCATTTGAAGTAGCCTTTTAGTGGGTTTTGGAATGAACCATGTTATCTTATGTATTGTTTTACCATTTGCTACAGAACACCGCCCCATGCAGTCAAACCCATTGCCTGAGAATGATGTGGTGAACAAAGTAGAAAAAAAAGGTAAGAGGACAGGAGATGGGCACCATAATTCCAGCACTATAAGAGATGACAGTGCATTTTGCTGTGATAGAATACTACCTTTGTTTTTGGACAGACAGTGGTCAGTTTCGAAGATTATTAAGTGACATAATAATCCTTGCAATTTCAATGGGCTTCACAGGATATACTGTAAAGTGATTCACAGGATATACTGTAAAGTGGATTGATTGTGTAATTTGTGAGTGAAACAGAATGAAGACATGAATTGGCACTAGGTCACCTGCACCTCATTGCCTGAAAATTACTGTTGAATCTCATAGTTGATAATATTTTAAAGTTATCAAGCTCGAGCTTTTCAAGGAAGCTTTCATAGTGGGTCCAGACAGGTAGCTTTTATTCTTAATACTTTGCTAATCATTGTAGCTGATAAACGGTATACTAGTGCTTCCAAAGCATGTGGACATTTGGAATGACATTGTTGTTTTTAAATCTGTTTTATTTTATTTTTGTGGTCTACCACAGGCATCGATTCCAAACCAACATCAAGAAATGACAAGAAGGAAATAGCAAAACAGAAAGCACCGGCGACCCCTTCAAAAGCGAACGGTAATGTTAGACCTTCTTTCAGTACTGTGCATCCTAAAGATGGCATCAGAGGTAAACAAAGGAGTGGCTGATTGCAAGCCATTGCAAGCCTCTCCAAAACTACGCATTTAATAAAATCTATCTCCAAAGACATGTGCACTTGGATCAAAGTCAGTGTGCTTCAGGGACTTCCATTTACTTTGTCCTATCAAGCCTCTGTTCCATACACCATGCCAGATCATACATTTTCCATGTACAAAGGTAGCCTATGTAAGTGCCAAATCAATCACATGAATGAGGTTATGTGCATTATCTGTGGATTACTAACATTTTGGTGCAGGTGGATAAATAATCCTGTATAGCTGCGTCGTTGATACAGGTACAGACAGATCTGATATGAAATGTTACTAATGGGATATGGCTGTGACTTCTATAACTATAGTACAGTGTCTGGTTTTGAAACTTTGCTGCTCCAAAGCTGTCAATATCCAGGGTTAGTTCTTGCATATATTGCATGTGTTTTAAACCTGCTAATTGGATGACGGGCAGTGTATGCATATCCAAAGTAATCCTACATATTTAAGAGCTTTAAATGAAGAGTTAAGACCATTGGTGCATACACAAGTCATGTCCTGCCTTGTCATTTGGTTCCATTCTAATACATTTCATGTAAGCACACAACATAAACACTGCATTTATGTTGCTTGTGTAAACTGGTTTGCATGAATCTGTTTGTGTATGAAATATGCTGGCTGTATTGCTGAAGATTGAACATATCCATTAGCATTCATGTCTTCCATTGAGAATAATAGATAGCTACAAATGATTACATAGTACTGATCTAATGAGATTCAAGATGTCATTGCCGACCACAGAGGCAGGAGACAAATCCCTTGCATTAGATTCAGCCTTGTAATCACTTCAAGATATCTGCTATTTATTTTATAATATATGCTGTTAAATTGATTCATGTATACCTTCAACTCTGGGTCCACCTTGATGGCAATATTGAGATTCTTAGCACAGAGATGGTGGCATATAACACGCTTACTGCCAAAAAATAGCAATTTCTTCTCCACATCTTTATGGTGGAGCTTTCTTTGTAAAACAAACACATTGCTATCTTTAGTCAGACCCCCACTATCTCTGGTGAACTCTGTGGTTGGTCTGTGCTGACATTCTCTGAAGAATGAAGATTGTGATTGTTTACTTGCAAACCTACTGAAATTCTATGCCCAGAAATTCAATAATCAGTATATATTATATACAGTTTAACCAGGAGGCTGTTGTGCAGTATATTGCTTAGTCCGTACCTTGCATGGAGTTTTAATCTTTGTACAGAAATGAAGCCCAACACATTGAGGACCTTCAGCTTTAAATATTTCTGAGCAGTGTAAAATCTGATCCACAAATTACATCTGTGCATGACACCTCACCGAAATATTTCTCTGATGTTCACTTCTCACCTAACTGAACCACTCCCGCTGATATTGTCCGAATGACCTATGTTCGTTTGATGTTTGTTTTGTGCCTCTTTCTTTACAAGAAGAATAACCTTGACTTTACTTTGTGTCTTCCCCTCATGACTCACTGAGATTTACGAACTTCCTTAATGGGACCTGAGTAAAAACCATCCCCTTTTTCAGCCTTGTTCCTAAGGCTGTTCCACCTTCTATGCTGTTGATTCACTGTTTACCTTAGCCCACTGACATTGGTCTTACTGGTATCCCTTGCTACAGTCAATAGTCTATTGCTGTATTTCTCTATCGTTTACCATCATAGATAATGATGCACATTACATTGCATGACTGAGAAGTGAGCTATCAGTTGTGGTTCCTCTTGTCGATTTAGAGAACATAAAACTGAGTAAGAATATGACTTGTACAGCAGATTTTACAGAAGTGTAATTGCTTGGTTACTATGCTGAAGAATTGCAAGGCAAAATGTTATTTTGCAGAAGAGTGCCGTATAACATGTCTTAATTCATAGCACTCTCTAGATAATGTAAAGTAATGTGAGCACTTGTTTTTATTTTGGTGGATAAATGCTTCCAAGGTTCTGAAAAAGTTAAATCAAGGTGCTTTTGCCAAGAGTAACGCCTGATTTATGTGTTAAATCCTGCATAGACTTGACATATTAGGTCTTATTGAATGGTACAGTTAAACTGTTCTTTGCATGTTTTCTAACCAAAGTACTATGTCAACCATAATCAGTGAACAATGTACTTGAACCTTAGCCTTACTCTGTAAGTATGAAATCTCTCAAATGGAATAAGATCATTTTTATTGTCAACCATAAGTTGGTTGACTAATATATTGCATTTGGAACATATTTTGTTTTCACTAGTCAAGCGGACATCCTCTCCCATTTCAACCCGTTGTTTGTTATCGGTCATTACACACCTAGAATTTGTCTGTAAAATGTACTTCTTCAAGGGAATATATCCAATGATTTTTTTTATTAATTCACTTCATTGTAAATTACAGAATCCAAGAGACCATCCTCAGTCAATTCGTCTCTCCCTTCCAACCCAGGTCTTGAACCTCATGCTACAGGCAAGCCTCAGTTCATAGGTATTTTTCACAATATGAAACAGATGTGGACGTTAGACAATGGAACTATGGCTCAAATCACGCAATATGTGCATATGTGGTTTAAATAATATTTTTAAAAAAGGGAAGTATCTCTTCCAATATTTAGAGTCGGTCTTAATCTTTACGTAAACATTGTAAATTAAAGTGAAGAATCATTCTAGGATTTCACAATTCGCAGTTTTGACTCAGAGGCATTTTGACGGTTATGATTTTTCTTATGAGAAAAGAAAATCAATTATGTATAACATTAGTGTACATCCTTGCAGCTGAATCATTGCCTGTGCTCCCCATTCAGCGTTTGGCCAGCCACGTGAGCAATGGTACCCCTGATGTTCAGACATTCTGCTCTTTTGCGATATGGACTAATTTCCCGATGATGTGGTCAATAGAGTAGTATCTGAATACTTCANTTTTTTTGCCGGTTATTAATTAACAAGATTAATTAATGTATTTAAATTACTAACGACCAAAAGATCGAGACTACATTCTGAAAGCAAGTTTATTTTTTACTAAGTCCCTGCAGGAAGTAAAGCATACATATTTATTGATGCTTATGTTTTTTGTTTGGGGTCATCTGGGACTTTGATGGGAGTGGAAACCCCCTGTCATGCTTTAGTGTTTCCAGTTCCAGCTGCTGAGAACTCACAGAGTTTCTGGTTGACAGAGTTGGTAGCACAATTTCTCCCAAGGGAGGTTGGGGGGGTTGATAGAGGGAGAAACACTGCTTGACTGTATCCAGAGAACAGAGGAGGTGTAGGTTGGCAGAAGCCAAAATATTAGAGGCCCTTGAATGTGCAGGGTTACTGTTGGAATTGAGACAGCTAAAACTACACTCTTTATTTGCCAGTATGAGGCATTTGCAAGTTTTGTCCAGTGGGAAAAATTCCATCGCCACTACCACCCCCCTCCCTCCCGCCCAATGACATGTCTACAGCTCCAAACTTTGTTGATGAGCCCCATTGGCTAGTCGGTCATCAACAGTAGACATGCTTGATTCAAGTGTTGGATTACCGAGTCACTGCAGAGACACAATCCCTTTTTCCCCTCTCCAGCAGCGTCATCATCAAATCAGCTCAGTCTAGAGAAACTCTACTTAGTTCGGCTCACAATGAATGCTTGCATTGAGTGTTTTGTACAACCAACACCGTTCCTTGTATTTTTCATTATCACTTGTAACCCTCTGTATGAGGAATTCTGTAAGTTGAATGAAGCTTATTTTTTTTTAGCTTCACCCAATAATTTTTAGGGGCAGGTTGCAAGTTTTATTGACCCTATTGGCCGATCATGCCTCTCTCTCCTCTCCACCCCACCACACAGAGCAGGAAACGAGGGCATAAAAGTATGTCCTTGCACAAATCTGCATGGTCTTGATTATAGCATTGAACGTCTGTGCCCAATAATAAAATAGATTTATATTGGACTTTTTGTTACCCGTGAATTCCTTATCCTGATTTCCATGGTGATGACCAATGGTTGTTTATTTATCATAGCAAAGCAATCAGAAAATGCATCAGTTATACTCAGACTTAAGTAATCACAGATGTGGAGCCATGAGCACTGCATTCGATGCTGTTTCATTCTAAATAGTTACACTTTCTTATGGCTTTGTGTTTAATTGTTTTCCATGTGGAAAATCTGCTGCCAAGTTAATAAAGTAACTGGCATGAACTTGTTAAATGTTTCCACTTTTATGGTGTACTTACCATTGGATCAGTGCTATGTAGTGGTGACATGCATGGGCTTTGTTGTCCAAAAGTTCATTGCCTTTGTGCACTGTAAATGGTGAGCTCTTCTGAGATTTTACACATCTTGCAAAATACATCAGTAGCATGAGGATACTGACCGGAATGTAAAGAGTAGATCTAACTTGTGGTATTTCTTAATGGGATTCCTTTAATAAGGAATCCAAGTTATGCAGTTGGGAACTTTTTCCAATAGCTGGAGGGAGGTGTATCTTGCTGACCCATGAGAACTCTGACATGGTCTGATTCTGGAATTAAATTCTTTCGCTCCAACAGCGTGAATAATTTGGCTGAAAGGGTATCATCTACCATTCAAGCGAGAGTAATACGGTGATTGTTTTGTTTCATGCTTCATCCCTGAAATGTGAATTGGATCTGCCCAAAGCTTTAACTTTGTCTTCTAGCCTATGTCTTCAGCTTTGGTTAATATATCCAATAACATGACCAATCTGTGATCTTACATTCTGTATTTTTCTGACAAAAATTGCAGAATTTCAAGTGCCATCGTCCAACCATTCAAATTTATTTACTTCAGAAAGAGCTTCTGACCTTGAAACTAAGGATAAGCAGCAATCCACAGGTAGTTTCAATAAGTGATGTGGCATGGGCATGCATCAATCTATTAAAGAGATGTGCATTGTCGGTATGTATTTCCATGCTTCAATACACGTGATTAATGTCATGAGTCTTAATTCTTTTTGCACGGCTGAAGGTTTGAGATGTGATGCACAGAGCTTGGCATCAGACAATGTATTGCCTGGTCAATATATTGATATCAAATGCTGATGCTTTTACAAAATACGTTGTATAGTTTGTAAACTGCATCTGTGTCAAACATTAATCAGAGCTGATGTTTCTGATTTTCTTTTATAAAAATCTCCTTTTACAAACTCCACTTTTTCCAACCTTACTGTCTTTTGATATTCTGAACTGATCACTGTGTAAGAGGGACAGAGTGACCATTTTTCCTTCTCTGTGAATAAGAAGCCTGATGTCTGCTCAGCACCAATCTATAGTGACAAGGCCGACATCAGAAACACAGCAGTTGGAGAGATCATTGAACGGAATCCATGTGTCATCCCTCTTACAACGCTGCATGCTACTGCATCCCCTCAGTTTTCAACTCAGAAAGAACCTTGAACACCAAGTTTTATCCGTGCACTTGCATGAAGTGTGTTACTCAGTTGGTACAATAGTTTGCATGGAACTAAGTTCAGAATGCTTTTCTGGAGCACATTGCGTGATCAGTAAATTGCATCTTGTTTTAAAACCACTTCAAAGCACTGGACTGCTTGGTTGTTGTGCTTTGTCATACTTGGTCAACACTTGGTCATCGTTTTGCATTGTCGAAGTGTAAACTGACGTGTGTTGGAAGTCCAAGTTATGATTTTTCGATACCATCTTCAATTTTGTCAGTTCTATCTGTAATTCATTGGCAAAATGTTTCATTTTGTTTCCCTCCGAACTACAGAGTCTGAGATACCATCTTCTACAAAAATGCCTTTCACCATTTTAAGCACAACTTCCAAACATACTGCTGAGGACAAGCAGAAACTCCCAGGTAGTTTCAACAATGAAATAGGGACCAGACAAGTCTTTGTTGTGGAAGCGGATGTGTGAATTGACGGTGTTCTATGTGCAGGTCGTCAATATCACAAACTCTATATGACTGGATATTATGTTACTAGTACTAAGGCCTGGAATTCCTTCAGTGGAATAATTTAGTTTGAAACACTGGGGTAAAATCTGTAGTCTTCCTTGAAGCATTCCTTAACATCATTAAGGAAAGTATTAAGGAACACCATCAAATACTTCCCCTCTCCAGGTAAGTGGTATGGCGTTCCTTTCCTTTCAGGGTTGGCCTGGTTTTGGACCTAGCTTACCCAGTCTCTAAAAAGAAAATTGTGGTCTAAGGGAGCACAGAATTTTTTCCTTCCAAAGAAAATGAGTCCTGGGGAAGCAATATGAAATAAAACCTTACCTTGAGTACAATGTCAAAAAATTTACAAAAATAAAAGAACTTGCCATGTTCCCAGGGTTCGGGGAAATGGTCGCTCAATGTTGATATTGTACTGTGCTTGGATTAATTATATTGTTCAGTCTATACTGTGTACTTAGTAAAATGACTTATCAATATCAAAAGCACAAAAGTGTATTGCATGGTCTAAGCAGTGTTTTACCGAACTATAGTGTTGTGGTAGACTTATTCCCTTTCGCACTTGTACAAAGGGCATTGCTTGGTCAATGTATTGAGTTTCCAAGTTCCATTTTTGAATTTTATTCAGTAGGTTTGCAAAAGGAATGTTTTGCATGACCATTTGACACCACCAATCCATTTCCTCTGCTTGGTTAAGTGTATTTTCATACCTAACATTCTTGGACTTGTCCTCAGTCTACATGTTTAATTACTTTGTTCGTCTGAGGTGTATTAATAGTAAGCGTCTGCCTGGATTTAAAATGTATTCAGTCGGTTTCTATATATCATCTTGCTTGTGCAATTGGAGGTTGAGCTGTCTGTGTCTAAAGTTGTAATCTTGTAATGCTGTAGATTTGGAGAATTTATGCTAAGTCAACACATCACATCCTGACTGGAGTTTAATGTTTGCAACTGTTTGAGTCTTTTATTTTTAATAGTTCTAACCCAGAGACTGAATTTACCATCTTAACCTTCTCTATTGAGACATTCCTTCTTTTCTGTTGAAGCACTCAACAAGTATTTTCTAGGTGATTAACTATCTCTGTAATAAAACTTTATGCGTTTATGTTCATTGCTTGGCCATAAAATAACATTGTAACGGTTATAATCACCTTTGTTTTCATCGTCAAACCATGTGCCAGTGTAATAGTCTTTTCTTTTCCCATCCTGGTTCGTACCCGATTCATTCAATCAATCACAGAAGCTCTTTGTTTTTTCCTATGTACGTTGCAGAAATTAAGGCACCGTCCTCAACCAATTCATTTTTAATCACTTCCAACCCAGCCCATGCTTCCAATCCTGTGGACATCAAGCAATTGAAAGGTAGTTGCAAAAAAGATGGCATGGATCTTAGATTTTTAATGCACAATTGCAACAAGATGCATGTTGTGTGTTTTTTGTGCATATCTCATTTGCCAGTTCGAAAGCTTTCATGACTTTCAAGCTCTGAAATTTCAATCATTGAGTGACTTGGCAGGTGTATTGCATGACCACTAGTAACATATGGTATAAAGTCGAGTATGCTTTTGCGGAGCAAATTATCTGATTCATATAGTGCATATGTCTAAATGATTAATTGGTGCATTATCTTGGAATCTTCAATCAAATTATCTCACATGCTTAACCCATGTCCGTGCATTAAGTGTTTTACCTGGTCAATGCAATCCTGCATGAAAATGTCATATTGTGTGAGGTATCGTGCCTGACCAATAATATTTGATTGAAGTATTTCAAAGTGCTGTATTGCTTAGTCAATACAAGATATATGGCTCAGGCCAAATGCAGCAATAGTTTTCTCTCTCAGAAATGTAAATCAATGAATTTACAATACAATCCCTATTTTCAGTCATTTTCCCATGCTTTTTTTAAAAAAAAATCAAGTCTCTTCTTAAGACCAGCAATTAGAGTAGGTTCACAAGTCCTCAGTCATGGGAGTTTATAATTGACAGTAGATGGCACTTGAATGACCGCAGTTAACTTGCTTCCTGATTTTTCCCTTACGAATAGGATAGGTCTATGTTCTGTTTGAATCGTTCCTCAACTATCGCAGTTGATACAGGACCTGACTGTTTTTAAGGAGATATGGTCACAGACGTTGTTTCCTATCAAACGTTTTGCACTGATTGTTAATAAAACAACCAGCTAGAAAAGGCTTTTTAGCTTATTATGCCTCCTTCTTCTGCAGTCTGTGTTGATTTTGGCCCAATGGTGGTGACTACTTCAGCTACTTCAATTTAATGTAATGTTTTGCAAGCATTCTCCTAGATAACAATAACAGCAAAATTACATTTGTATAGCGCCTTTCACGTCGGGAGGATGTCCCAAGGCGCCAGGCAGTTAGTGTTTCCTAAGACCTCTGTTCCCTAGTTCTGTGTTCACAATCCAGGTTAAATAGCCTCCCTGTATTGTTGCATCAATTCATTGCTTCAATATGCTGCATTGTCTGGTCGCACAAAGCTATTATATCTGACTTCTACCACAGTTGGCTTGATATCAATCAACACTCATGATCACAGAAATGCTTTTTTTGCCTTCTCTGAAATGACTTACAGAACCTGAGGTACCATACCCCAACAGCTCACCTTTCCACCCAACCTCCGAACCCGATGCCAAGGATGTGGAGAAACTTACAGGTAGTTCAGCAATGCACATAGCATGGGATGTGTTTTTGCATAGAATATGTGTACTTTCTTCAAAAATGAAAGAGCTAAATATCAGCAAGGAATGTATTTCTTGGTTAATATACTGTCATAATCAAAACAAATCACTAAGTAACCCAGGATACATTTGGCTAAAAAAGCAATATTCTGGTAAGTAAACTCTAAAGATTCAGTTTGCCTCACATACAATGCATCAAGCATGTTCACATCAATTGTATTGCCTAGTCAATACAATACATCATGCATGAAAATAAGCTGGGATCTTTCATGAAGCACGTTTAATAAATGCAGAATAGGTTGGAGTATATATGCTGTATTGTCTGGCGCTAGGCAGTCAGTGTTTCCTAAGACCTGAAGGACTTGACAAAGCACTTTTCATTCTGTCTGGTTTGTATGTTACTTTTTTTAATGTTTAAAATCTAAATCACAAAACAATTCTTTCATCCCTTTTTAAAATGATTTTTCTCCTCTTTGTTGCTTCATCCTCATTCCGTGATAAAGTGAGTATCCAAGTAACCACTTGTCTGTCCTTTGCTAGTGTAACGTTTGAACAGGTTGAAAGGAGATATATAAGAGTGACCAAGATTTGTGCTGTTTGTCTTTCCTATGACTAAAGCTCTACTCTGCTTCACTCAAGCCATGGTTAATAGTGGAATCATTGATACAAACCTGGTTGTTATCACTGTATTCACAGCATTTTATTGTACCAATGCAGAGTATCAATATAATGGATTGGCTGCCTGGTTGAAGCTGTTATATCGAACACCAACTATAGTTTGTATAACATCAAGTCAATATTCACGGTCACAATAACACTGTCACAGTAATGCGTGTTTGCTTTCTCTGAACTAAATGAAACAATTGGAGATTTCATTCTCCAATATTTCATGATTTGTTTCCAGTTCTGCAGCAGATAGAGATTGAATGTGTGTTTTTCATTCTCATTGCGTAACATTATATATCACAGAGAAGCGAGTATTGTTATATTCTAATGATTTAATTCCTTTGAAAAAATTGATAGCCAGGTACTGAGTATGCCAGATTGAAATATAATTTCCAGTTAACAAGTTTATAGCATGTAAACTAACTGTGCTATGTGTTTACAAGTCAAATGTTCTGGTCATTGAACTGTTGAAGGCACAGTTAATCTTGTGATTAATTTAATAGGTGCTCTTGTGTTCAAGGTATTTATAGATTTTAAGTAAAAACTAACGTGTAGCCAATGGAAAGGCATAACTAGGTTTCCTGAGATGTTACACTATTTCCCAATCAAACAGGATACAAATGATCTGGTCTCTTGTCAGTGGAGCTTTTTTTTAACAGGAAGCAAAGCGATGTTTGAGAATTCCCCCCTATACCCCTTTATCCGAGTTATTTGGTCACTAGAAGGTATTCATAATTTTCCCCACCAAGCAGGGAGAAAGCAACCTACCAAAGTGGAAACCTTGCAGTGTGCTATACGACATGCAGGAATTCCTCACTCTCAGCCAGTGATTTAACATCTCTATTAGGAAGGACTGGTCCACTCAACTTCATTTGCCTGTCTAGTTAAATGATTACCTGAATGCTATTTGTGACCAGCCTATTGCACAGTGTAACCAATCACCTATGTTAAGGTGCTGCAAATCTCCAGTCAGCATAATCTATTGAATTTGATGCATCCACCAGTTGCTCTGATTCTGGTTAATATTTATTGTCAAAGGAATATCTTGTTTGCTTTCTCTGAAATAAATGACAGAACCTGAGGTTCCATTCTCCAGCATCTCCTCCTTCAACCCAACCACTGAACCTGGTACCCTGGGCATGCAGAAATTCACAGGTAGTTCAATGTGTAAATCATGGACTTTTTTTTGTTTGTTCGTGGAGAATGGTATTCAAGCTTTTTATGGATTGAGCGTCAAGAACTGAGTGTGTCCGCACCAAACACAGTGGCAGATTAATAGATTGTAAGCAGAGAAGCTCTTGCCTAGCAAATGTTTTTGCTCAGTAAACCACAAAAGAATATTTTTTTAATGTACAAAATGCAAGGCTGAACTTTCAAGAAATGTACAGTTTGGTTAATATAAATATCAGAAAAGCTTTGCGTAAACCATATTGCTTGATCAGTCAAATAGATTTAGGTGAGATTATTTCAAACATTATTTGATGGGGGAAAAAAAATAGAATCCAAATTAAATAATAATTGATTGCCTTAGGATGCATTGTATTGCTTTATCCATATCTGAATTTGTTAGTTCTGTAAGGAGCAGTAGTCTACACCGCTCAATTTTACTATTAGTGGAACAGTGTAGAGTATTGTTGAATTACAGCAATAACAACAAGATTACATTTGTACAGCATTTCAGACCCGAGCTGGAGTCAGGGAGGGAGAAGGGAGGGGAGGGGAAGGGAAGGGGGATGGCCGATGACATAGTCGAAGAGGAGAGTCTTGAGGCGGGACTTGAAGGAGGCTAAGGAGGGGGCGAGGTGGAGTGACTGGGGGATGGAATTCCAGAGGTTGGGGGCAGAGTGGCTGAAGGCTTTCCTGCCAATGGTGGGGCGGGTGGGTCGGGGGACGTGGAGCAGGACAGAGCCGGCTGAGCAGAGGGAATGAGCAGGTTGGTAGGGGGTTAGGAGGTCGCAGAATTACATGCCGTTAGTACACGTTACCGGTAAACTTCCTGCCGCTTGTCGAGCTTGGATTACGCTACATGGTATAGTTTTGCTTTGGAGGATTGTTAGGAACTAAGTGGGAAAAATCCAGTTCCCTAGTGACATATGTATTCAGTTTTGATCACCCCACTTTCGGAAGGATCTCAGCCCGTACAGATGGTGCAGAAGAGATCTAATCTAAACTGGTGATACCAGGGATGAGTAGTTTTACCTATGAGCGAAGACTGGAGGAACTGGCCTTATTTTGATTGGAACAAAGAAGGCTGAGCATTGAACCTTATGAGGGGTTTTGATAGGGTTGATGGAAAGAAATTATTTCTAATGGTGAGTGAGTCAATAATTGGAGGGCATCAATTTAAAATAATTGCCAAATGAGCAAAGGGCAAGATTAGGAGAATCTTTTTACGCAAGGGGTTTGTTAGGATGTGGAATGCGAGTAGTGATCAAGGGAAAATCTGTATTAGCTTTCAATCTGAATTTGAAGTGGTCTTACCAGTGTTTTTTCTTGGCCACAGTTACTGTGGTCTCAAGTGTTGTTGTGAGTCACAGCCTTTTCTTTTTGTTTCTTCTGAACAACATTGCAGACCTTGAGACACCTCTTTCTAGCACCTCATTTTTCTCCAATTCAAAAATGACGTCCACACTTGATGTCACGGACGGGCAAAAATCCACAGGTAGTTTAATTAATAGGTACAGCATGAGGGCGCATTTTGCCGTGAGCATTGTTGCAGCACGCATTATACGCAAATACATGTGCCATCAATGCAGTAGATTGGTTCTAAGGCTTTTGCCCCTCTTAAAGGATCACTTGCTGTGCTCTTGAATAAAATGCAATGTTTGGAGTCACCAGGAAGGTTTTGCATAGCTTATTGCCTGGACAGCGGACTGCATTTATGTAAGAATATTGTCAAGCAATGCATTAGATAGTATGCGCACACTGTCTTGCTTGAGCATTACCTAAATATGATATGAATCACTGTGCTTGGGAGCATTTATACTGCTTGTTAGAATGCTGTGCCTCACTTGTTTAGTCTACTGCCATCACACAGAAATGCGTGCGCTTTCTTTTCACCACCTCTTCTTAATTTCGGGATTTACGCACAGTAACGGTTGAGTCATTTTGTTGTGCTTGGGGTTTATGCATTGTGCTTAACTGAAGTTTGTTGGCACAATCAGTGCACTGTTTCTTGCTTGGCATTCAGTCTTTGTACTCTGTTTGCTTGTATTATGTTCCTCAATCACATGGGATTTTTCCTACTGCGCAAAGTCTGTTATCTTGTGCTAACAGACTTGTGCAATGTGCTACGGCACCTTTATGCAAAGGTGTCCCAGGTGTGTTGTAATGTACGTTCCGCAGTGTTTCATCAAACGCGGTTTGTGGACATTGGAAAACACGGTCTAAATTAAATGTTTCCTTTAGTGTTGAATAGGAGTTACCCAGGTGTATGGGAAATACATCCCCAACAGGATGTATCATTCCTGAAGCCCAGTCACAAATTACATAGAATTAGAGCCTCTTGAGTTTTAATGCATCTCCTGCACATCTGAACAATTCATATTCAATTCATAAAGAATCTCTTAATTTAGACTGCAATTCAGATCCCGGTATCAATCAAAGATGTTTATCTTTGTTTTCTCTGGAAGAAAAAGTTACAGAGGGGCCACCCTCCAATGGCAATTTTTACTCCATCCCAAGCAGCACTTCTGAACTTGATACCATGGATGAGCAACAATTCTCAGGTAATACTAGTAATAGAAAAATAAGGGACTTTGTTTGCAATACATGGACATGTTGCGAGCAACTGCTCGCCTTGTTTCTTTTGACCATGAATTATATTAAGCTGTGCTCAGTTTTGATTTAGACTTTCTTGCTGTTGATCAGGAGATGCTGACTATATAGCAGCATACTGTTCAGAATGCTGATCATTCAGGATGTTCAGCTGAGTTAATTCATAGTTGTGATGGCCACAATAAGTCAAGCAGGGACCACTTTTTCATCATTACTAAGGAATCCTTTGTCAAAGTGAAATAACTATACGAGCACCATATATTTCATCAATGTCACCATTCACTTGGCCTCATCTCAGTTTATCAGTAAACCCCATCCGTGTTGAAGATTATGAAAGACAGTTTAGTTCTGATTTAGTTCTTAATTTTCTAAATTGTTTAACCTTTGGGATAGAGTATTTCTAATTCTCTGCTGGTCAGTAAATGTACGAACCATTTTATATACTAAAATTGATCAAAGAATCATTTCCAAATTAACACCATATTTGTTCTCACTTTTTCAGTAGACCTCTACCGTAATTGAAAATAAACAAGATATTTTGGATCAGTCAGATTATTTTCATTCTCCAAAGATTAGGATAATAGCTCAAAACACTTTGCCTTTAATATCTCTCACACACAGAAATAAATGCGGATGCCAAGTCATTAAACTGCTCCTATATTAAACAATGATCAAATATGTTTTAAAGTTATTACAGATCTCATGCAACATTTAAACTATTTGTTTGAATGGATCGTATCACTTGACCTTTATACCTTTGCATAGAGCAATGTGAAAAATGTTAGCGAAGCATTTTTGTGAGACTTTTGTTTGAGTACTTTGACAGTCCATGTTGATTTTACCGGGATGTGACATGCATTCTCACTACTGAAATGCTACTCGGCCATTTTGCAAACGGAAGCAACGAGGTCTAGTTTGCAGTATTTCTTAACAAATTTCTTAATAAGAAATGTGTGATTATTGAATTTCTAAAACATCAAAAGCCTTGAAAAATGTCATTGAAATTCTAAAACATTTGAAATATATTTTTCAAAAATGACACATTTCTTATGAAACATGTTAATAAATATCGCAAATTGGGTGCGTATAACTTCAGTATTTTTCCACAGTTGATGTCAGCTACTCCACATGGTTGCAGAATTACTTATTTGATTTTTCTGAAATACATTACAGAATATGTGGTACCACACTCCATCAGCTCAAATGTTAATACTTTAAGCACACCGTCTGAGCCTGATAACGTGGACAAGCAAGAATTCACAGGTTTGACTAATAGGCATAGCATTACTTTGAGCCTTTTGATGGAGAATAATTGGTACTGTATGCGTGGATATACTCGTGAATCAATAAAATCTGCTTTGCCAGTTCAGTTAGCAACCTAATTTATGGGTTGGGTGAACCACGTGCAAAAGCATGCAGGTCTCCCTTAATTATATAACTAACAAACAACGTAAAGGAATTAGAGAATTACCTGTTAATGCATTTCATTGGTAGTTTGTTACTTAATTAAGGAGCCTGGAACTCCCTCTGCACGCATGCAGACCTCAATTTAATGCTTTAATTTCGTAATCTAATACATGAGTTCGGAATGAACTAATGAACTTCAGCCAGGACTGTCAAGCACCTTGGGGTGTCCACCCAACATAAAAGGTGCTATATAAATTTGCATTGTATTGTAATTAAATGAATGCAGTGTATGATCAAAATGCTTTGCGTTGACCTGTTTTTTTTTTCAACTGTTCTTCTTCTCTACCACTTTCCAATTCTTCTCTACCATTGCTCTAGGAGTGTCTTGTATTCAGTGTGTTTGCAGGAGCCCAACTTATCTTACTGTCTCCTTTATGTTCATTTTGATCTGAAGTCATATATGTGCTGCTTCGTTTAGTGGATTCAGGCACCCAAGATCATGTTTAAATCCAGTCTGATGATATCTTTCCAGAGCTATGATCCTCTTCCAGATTACTCAGTTTGTTTACCTATCTCCTGTTCTGCATGACTAAGTGGTATTATGGCCAATATGTTTTACTTTGGCCAGACTTTAATATTGTAATGTGCACCACTTAGTGAGTGAACAGTGGAGAAGTGCAATTACTGCATCTCACCAGCTCAAGTTAGATGTAAAATCTGCCCAGTTAGACCCTGAGGTAATACTTGCTTCATGCCAGATGGTAGTTTAAATAGCTTGTTAAAACAGTCACACAAAACTTAGCATGCATTCAACAACATCTTCAGAAGCAAGTGTCAAATCTTCTCTGAGTCACACATTCTCAGTTTCTTTTGGGGAGAAGAAACGAGTCATATAAATAAATTCTGCAGTTTCCCTGTAATCTCATTTCATTTTTTTCCTCAAAAGATGCCTCTTCTCCTCCCAGCAATTAGTTGCAGCGTAGACTGAGGAGAGGGAAAATGTCTCATTGTCTAAGTTGATAAGGAACTCTTCTCTCTGCTATATGGACTGCATTTCCACAGATGATTGACCCTCTGCAGTGATGCTCTTCCAGTATTTAACTGAAGCCGCTAGTTTACTTATATTCTATAACAATTTTCTCCTGTTCCATTGTTGCTCTTTTCTCTGCTCCCCAAATTATTTTTTAGCCTTCCCCTGAGGTTGTATTCCCAGACCACAAATACTGACATCAGACTAGCTTATGCAATTTTTCTTTTATAAGCTATGACTCGGTTATAATTTATCACAGTAAAACATTCATGCTCAGAGGACTAGGTTGCACACACTGGCCTTTCATCTCCAGAACTAGATTTGAATCTAACTCAGAATGATAGGATTACAGTATCCTCTGTTTACCCACTATAAGAGTCCAATGTGAAGTATGTTTTGGGCATTCTCAACCAAGCTCCCAGTGGGCACAAGTTCACAACTCAGCACTAAATTAGCAAACGCCCTTGTATGCCTGGTCTGGAAAATATCATTTGGAATTTGTGAGTGCGAGTGTGTGTGTGTATGGAAGGAAGGAAAGAAGGAGAAAAATATTGCTTGAAATCAGGTCCTCACTATATAGATCTATTGGGTAAAGTTTTCTGTATAATCTGCGATATAGCTGACACCGGTTTATAGTGGAAAAGGAATCAATTTCCCAACAGGGCCAAATTAGCAAGAAGAATTCTCATTCAGAAATATTTATTAAAAAATATGTTAAGAGTTAATCTATTCCGCTCAGAATAAAAATAAAGTCATAGCAAAGAGATTCAGTGATGATTTGTATTAATAGGATTGTAGTTTACAACTGCATATTTGTTTGCTACGGTTTATAGCAATGTCTCCATACACTGCAACAGCTTTCTGTCAAATGCTATACTTAGTTAATAAGCTGTAGTTTTGTTTCTGAAAGGGCAATTCTGAGTGATTGACAAATTACTTGTATCATCTCCCACAAGTGTTAAGATGTCAGTCTTTTTAACATAAAAATTGGGATCACAGAATTTTTGCTTTTTCTTTGACAATGATTACAGAACATGAGGTAACCTCCTCCAACAGTTCATTTTTCACCACATCAACTGCGTCATCTGAACTCCATCCTCCAGAGAGGCAGCCGAATTCAGGTAGTATCACTCATCCAGCATCCACCTTTTCCATGGAAGATGACATGTATATCATCGGAAGTCATCTGATACATGTCATCAATATCATGCATTTTCATGCTTTCACATCCCCGAATGATTGGGATGTCACGCAATGAGTTTGGCAACACAAAGTGTGTATTGCTCCCATCAACAGATGGCAATAAATCAGGTTGCTTTTGCAAGTGGAATTGTTTGACCGGTGTGCTCACAGTTAATCACGTTTTAGGATCTCTAGCGGATCAGAGCTCACGTTAAGTTCAATTTGTGCACTTGCATGAAGCCTCTTAGTTAGTACTTTGCATGCAGGTAAATCTGAATGCATTTGTGAATCACATTGTCACCCATTCACTTGCACTAGATTAGATTAATTTGAAGGACTGTAACGCTTGATTGATAGGCTGTATCACACTTGATATTTGTCTGTTTTAATGGCTGGTATGTAAATTAGGTGTGCTGAAAGGTGTGTTGTCTTCTCTGCTCACTTGCTGTGTCTATAAAGTAATAAAGATGTTTTGTTTGCATCCTCTGAAATACATTATAGAGGATGAGTTAAGATCCTCTAGCAGCTCATCTTTCAATGGCTTAAACACATTGAAACCTGACGTGCTGGACAAGCAGAATTCCACAGGTAGTTTCAAGTACACATACAACAGATGTAATGAGTGTTTTTGTGGAGAACAATGTTTGACTGTTATTTATAGATGAGTCGATAGAAGAGCCTAACACTTGCTCAATTTTGCAAGAATGGAATTTCAGGGTCAAATTTGCAGTATTTCTTGATCAGATTTCTTAATAATGAATCCTGCTAGAATATCCTTCTATCCACCACAAATGGATCATATCAGAGCAATGTTCCCCCTGATCAATCTGACTTGCTTATGGTTGACAGAAGGAATCTCTTTGCATAGATTGGAATCCTATTAAGATGTATCATCAATTAGACTCGAATCAGAATTAAACCTCCTTGATTCGCAATGCAAGGCAATACATTTTTTAAAAAATGCTTTGGAAAGTAATCTGCTTTGGCAGTAAATGTTTATCGTTAATTTCGAAGCAAACGGTTAATGTCTTGAAAAACTGAATCACTATTTATTCAAAACATATTTGAACATGCCTTGAATGGAAATAAGTCACAATATTTTTGTGATGCCTATAATCTACACAGTATTTCACTACCCAGTCATAAGACTACGTATCAGCTAAACAGTTTGATATAGGCCTGAAACAGGTATATGTCTAAATGGAAGTGCAAATGAGGAACATATTCTTTTGATAACAGATTATGGCGGTTATTCCCCCCTCATCAGTAAATTTACCAACCTTTAGATGTATGAAAAATTATATTTTAGATTGAGTCCAGTTGTACTTTGCTATTTTTTAAGTGTGTTATTGCAAGGCTAAATTTAGGATGTTTCATAACTCGTTCAACGTGATAATTATGAAATGACAGAATCATTGTAGGCTGCTTCCAGGTCTAAGCTTTGGGTCTATGGAAGTTTTTTTTCACACATTTTGACCGCATTTTTGTTCTGGGTGAATGGCTGATTTTTATTAAATTCCAGGCAGAATCGGAAACTGCTTTTACAGCTGATTTAAGTCGATTTCCTATTTTTAGATCTGACGTTCTCCTGATTGGAGAAAAGAGATTTTCGGACCTTTGGTTTAAGCATTAAGCTTAAAAGTCTATTGTTTGTTTGGTTAATAAACTTCACCGGAGTGAAGTTTAACATTGTGCCTTTTCCAAAACATTACTTAGTTAAAAACATATCGATGTACCCATGCTTTTGATCAGTTTTTTGGGGTTATTGAAATATGACTGCCTTGGTTTCAATAATTTTTAATAATACCAAGTAATATTTTCAATCACAGAGCTCTATTCTTTGTTTTCTTTGATATACACACACAGGACCTGGCGTACATTCTTCCAGCAGTTCAATTTCCTTCACTTCAAACACTTCTGAACTTAATGCTCTGGGGAGCCAAAAATCCACAGGTAGTTTCAACAGTAGATATACAATGGCATGGATACGCACTTGTTTCATGTAAGCTGTCACCTTCATTTCAGTGTACATTATGTACAAGTTTACCATCTCCATGTACTTGCCATCCATATGTGCTTTAATACCACTGACGAGCTGGTTTTCCACACACTGAATGGAAATTCTACTTTTTCAATACATCATTAAAATTGACATTTAAATCTAGATCTAAATCAAGCAAATTGATTGTTAGTAACAAATAAATCTGACTTTGAATGTTTACAAGAATTATATTGGATGTCAACTACAGCAATATAATTATAATTACTGTTCCATCAGATTTATTATGATGTTACACGGTTTCCTCAATCACAGAGATTGTTTTTAATATTTTCTCTAATGTACGTGATAGAACTTGAGGTACCTTCCTCCACCAGTTCAGTTCTCATCACTTCAAACACACGTGCTGAAGCTGATTCTATCAACCACAACCCATTCACAGGTAATTTGAATATTGCCTGTATATTATAACGTGAACCTATTTCTTGTTTAATGGAAAATGTCTAAGTTTTTATGAATCTAGTAGAAGTAAAAAAGCTACTTAGCCCACTCTGCTCGTTCTGTCTGTTATTCAGGTCCAATTTTAGATTCCAATCTCTTTTTCCAGGGCTGAATGCTAGCAAGTTTCTGCTTGCCTCACAGCTTATGAATACTTCAGTAAATTGTTTTTGCACTTGACTGACCCAATTACCAATTAACAGTCCAAAGCCAATAAATTATATATATGATGTACATTAGAGATTACAAGTTTTGCAAGTTATTTACTATATTATGAATCATGAGATCAAAGAGTTGTGATACTTTTACAAAGCATTCTATCTCGTCAATAAATAACCTTTGTAGCACATCAGTACTATTTTTTGTTTGTAAAGAATTTGTTCAGCTGTAGCTGTAGATAGAAAAGAGTCGTACAGTGTAACTAACAACCTCACCCACTCACAACCTTCCTCCTGGATGAGAAACCACTTGTAAGAATTGTATTGTGTGAACTGCATCTGTATTACAGATTTATCAGCACTTTGCTCGCTTTGTTTCATGATGGATCTGTTTTCCTATTTTTTTTCCTACCGACCTTTAACAATATCCTGAGCTAAACATATTACATTGCACCAGTTTCAATATTGTATTCACATGAACGAAAGAAGGACTGGGAAAAATACTTCAATTCCCGAATTACTATCCCATCTGCCCTATTTTCACAATGGAAATAAATATCTCCTATCTGTTATGCAGCTTCGTTCCTGTAGTTCATTTCCCTTCCTTTGGAGCCCTGCCATTTGGGGTTTCTGGTTGCACCCCACATAACTCTGAATGATAGAAGGGTGATTTCCTGATGTGGATATCAGCTAAGTTTGGATGAGCTGAGAATGCAGCAGAACTTATTTATATTAGACCTGTACCAAAGTACTCGGTATTTCACCAAGGCTTTAATTTTTCTTTAAGCATGTGGTGTTCTAGTTGGCAGCATTTCTCAATGGGATTCCGTTAATAAAGAATCCTCTTGGGATTCTCATTGACCCACAGAAACTGCAACTCAGAAGCAGATCTTGTTGGACCACGGTTCCCACAGGTCAGATTGACGTACTTTCAGTTACTGGAAGGACTCCCCATTTGCCCTATGTGGAATCCTTAATAAGGTATCCTGTAAAGAAACACTGCATATTAAACCCAATTGCCTTGCTGGGATGCAGTAAATTACATGGTAGTGTTCTTCTCTATAATACCTTTCTCCAGTGTTTGGACTGCGTGTGAGGTGCCTTTTAAAAGCATTGTATGAGATATTGGAACTGGGGGGAATAATGTTTGGAAATCATTCAGTAAAATACACCATAGATTATAGATACCCTAGTTTTCTCTTATTCATTACAGAATATAATCCACCATTAGCCAACAATCCTTCAAGAAATGAACCTGGCTACCAGGACAAACAACCGATTACAGGTATCTGCTGCAACACGTTAGCACAGTTGAGACTGCTTCTGTGCAAAATTAGACATGAAAGCATAACAGCTAACATGTATTATGTGCACATATTTGTACAACTTGTTATCATTGCTTGTGAAAGTTTCAGCTTTTAAAGGAGCCGAGAACTCTTTTATAGATTTTAGTTGATTCAGTAGCAGAAACCAAGACCACCTAGTTAACTGAAATAAATTTGTCTAGTAAGGACTTATATCCAACCTGGCATTTATTAATCAGACACTCTTTTATTAAGTTCAACACAAATAATTGCTGATATCAGTCTCCATGCTGTATTCATAAGATTCTAACTTGTGATACTTCTTAACATAGTTCCTAATAAGAAATGTGTAATTATGACATATCAAAAATGGAAAATGTGCTGAAGAACACATCCTTCATCACATTCGATATTTTATAAATTCGATAATTGTACATTTTTTAAGAATTCTGTTCACAAATATCACAAGTTATGCATAATGAAACGAAACTTTTAAATGTAAATTAAAATTCTGATGGATTAGAGCCTAATTGAGAATAGAACATGAACATTTCTAATTTCCCCATCCACGTTTGTCTTCCCTGTCATGCTTTGTAGAATACAGTACTTCCATATTGAATTGAGCCACACTTCAAAACAATGGATCGTAAGCTACAATTTATAGTTGGCATAACTGTCTAAGTGCAGGAACATAAATTACACAACCGTATTACACATTGCTTTCAGCGGGTATCTTGTCAAGCAGATTTGTCCATCCTTGATTAACCGCATTTGTTTTACGTTCATGTGAACATTCATTTTTTTCCTTTTAACATTTCTCTTGGGCTCATGATTGTGATGACAGGCTTTGGGCTTGAGTCCAACAAGCATACAGTACTTTGCCCAAGCAGCTATTCCTCATACATGACCCAAGACAATGAACTGTTGGTGGGCTGTTAAGCAATAAACAAGTCATTGTTTCTACGCCTGATGTCGCCCTTGCCCAACATATATACAACAACGAATTACACTTGTATAGCGTCCTTCATGTCGGAAGGACTTCCCAGGGCGCTGAAAACACACCATTGGAATCATTAGATTTTAATGTAAAGTGGAAACAGTAGCTGATTTTTCCCCTTCCCTAAAATAAGGTACTGTGAGACAAATGATAGGAACGAACAACTGAGATCAGCTAATTCCCTGCAGTCCAGAGATTGAAGCTGAGATGTTCTTAGCTCAATACTATACCATGCGGTATATTTTCCTATCGAAGATATCTCTATTGACAGCTTATCGATTCACCATTTGTGATCCTGCGATGAATTCCACATTCCATGATTCACAAACCAGATGTGGCCATCAGCAGATCAGCTCTGGTTTGTGAGCCTTACCTTTGAGACCCCATTCTATGTGTGAGCACACATCTACTAAGAATTGTGTTGGAACTGCTCAAACTCCTTTTATTTACAACGTTTTGAGCCAGAAAAGAAAGGAAAAATGATTGCGTGTTTAAAAGCAATGTTTCTGATTAGCATGTCCGCCTGATCATGTGAGTGGGCAAAACTCCTGACATAAATGCTGTTGAACAGTCAGAAATCAAGCTTTCCTGTGGAAAATGTGGTTAATGTGTTAGGAATTGTGTCAGTTATAAGGGTAAACAGTGTAGGGGCAGAAACTAGGATTTAGTCATCTCACTTCAGAACTGCTTACTAAGTCTGACACCTGATGAAAAATTTGGAAGATAGCCACATACTGAATCCCTGTACTTGTTGACTTTGGCTCAGAAATGATTCAGATCTAGCTTTGCACTTATATGTTGTAATCAATTGGGTCAAACCAAACCTACTGAAGGAAAAATCTAAACCAAGGTCTGTGTGTACGCTCAGCGAGACAGAGTAAAATAATAAATAGCAAACTAAGGGCTGTGTACTCTTCAACAAAAGGAATACATTCATAATATATCTTTGTATTGGCACATTACTGTTTTATTATATGCTTTTGTTTATCAATTTACAGAGCATTACCAATCATCAATTGAAAATTCTACCCACTTCAATTTAAATCCAGTATTGGAATTTGACGCACCTGGGCATCAGGGTTACACAGGTATTTTAACTCACAAACATAACCTGAAGTGAAGTTTCTGGTGCAGATGCAAACATGGTGCTGATAAAGTATGTTCATTGTGGCTCAATGTCATGTGTGGGATTCTATAAGGAATTGTGTATGAAAAGTACCACTTTGCAATTTAATGTACCACTATTTGGTATTTCCAGGACAAATATCACCAAAGCATCTTTCATTATCTGCACGTGAGTTTGCACTAACGGCAGTCAACATTGCCTTATAATTCCTGCTCTGTAGTATGTGAGAAATAGCCCTTTTCTTGCTGGGAGATCATTTAGCGCACAGATTAAAGAAGAATTAAGACCAGAGATTTCTAATGATTATTTAATCAATGACTGGAAGAACAATGCCCATATGATTTTTTAATACAGAAATACATGGAATGATATAGCACAGAAACAGTCCGTGCTTGTGTTTATACACCACATGAAAAAGTTAATAGCTACGGTACCCTATAAAAGGAGTTGTGTTGTCTTCTCACTGTAAAATATCTTAAGCGTGTTTGTTATCAGGAAGCTTTTGTGAATTGCATTGATTAATACCTTGAATGAAGTTTACTTGATATTCTAATTATTGATGCTCAATGATGTAGATAATAAATTACACTAGATTTCAGAATTAGTTTGTTTTTACGTACAATACACTTTGCATAACATGGATTTCAGTGAATGTTCTTTCTTCATAAAATAGTATGACCATGCTTACTACATTGCCATGATGTCCAACAATAGTTAGTGGTTGTTTTGATGTCCATTCACAAAGGTTTGTATTTAGTTTCTTTTATCCATTACAGACCATGAACTGCCAATCTCTGATACTCCGTACGTGTTCAGCCCAACCCCTCCTGCTGAACATGTTAGTGCAGGAAAGACACAATTTTCAGGTATTCCAACAGTACCTGTAGCACTGCATGACTTTTATGTAATATAAATTATGTGGAAAGCTATTTATTGCTATCCATTACTCAGCCTGTTGAACACTCATTCATCATATTCCTGTTCATAACCTGTGTGGATCCATAAAGAGTCCATTTATTCCATACCTTTGCTATTTATTGCTCTTTCCATTATTTCACACTGGTCTTATTCAATTGCTTCAAGTAGATACAGAACAGATGTTAAAAGTACGAATAAACATACTTCAGCTACATGATCGCTTAAACATTATATGCAGTACACTGTGACATAGGACATCATTATAATGAGAAAATCCACAAGTAAACACCATTAAAGTTACTGACAAGCAGAGCATAAAACACATTTGCTCACCAAAGACGGTAAATATACTGGCCAACAGAATCTTTCCCATCACTACCCATAACTATGTTATATTCCCTCACTTACATTTGGTGCACTCTGTTTCACACTTCTATAACATGAAATTGGGCAATCAACATTCCTGCATTAAATATTTCCAGGGCTCTTGTGGAAAACTTGTTACATTATCATTGCATCATGCATGTCCTAGATTTTAATTTAGTTGATAAGGCAATAAGCTCTATTAGAGACTTTGCTTGTATAAGAAGCTTTGCCCAGATGCTTGGGCCTTTTCGGTACTTCAACACTGATATTGCATGCAGTGTATTATCACCATGTTATAGCTCTGCTCATATGAAGGTCAATACATTGTGGGTTTCATACGATTTAATGACCCACAATAGTTTTATTCCTTGACTGACATTTTTGTCATAGGATTACATGTGGAGTGTGTGATCATATTAAGCTATGCTTGTGTGAAATGTGTGGTGTATGTATTTTTTCTTACTCAGATAAACAAAATGCATTACTGTAGTGCTTTAATCATACAAAGTGTACTGAGGGAGGCGATGGGCAATATGCAATGCCCTTGATAAATTAAAGGGATTTTATATTTAATCTATTGTTGAATGGTATGATATAGCATCTGTCATCAAATCATGTCCCATGGATGTTGAGTGTTATTAAATTGACTGATCAATGCATCATCTCTCACAAAGTTGATGATTGTATGCATTATGTTGATTGATGAATGAATTCTGTATAGAATGGAACCTATTAGAATGTCTTGAATGATGAATGTGAAACCAATAGCATGGGGGTATATCACAAAATGTACGTTAATATAGAATTGGTTATCAACCCCACAAATGGTTTTGATGAACGACCACAAAGACTTGTCTTTAGTTTCTTTGTTGTGCCTTACAGAATATGAGCTGCCAACGTCAGACACTTCATATGTTTTCAGTTCAGACCTAGTAACTGAACTTGAACTTGATAAAGATTTAACAGGTATTCGCAATAATAAGCAACACTCTCTGATGGTCAATCAGCTCAGGTCTAGACTAAAAACATGTTGACTATCTCAATTTTAAGTGTGGGTTGAAGTGAAGCCAACTGGAGACGGTAGATAAAAAGGGCATATTACTGTGGGATATATACACATTTATAGTTTGTTTATTGCTTTTTGTTTTGCTGTGTGCAAAGGACATTAGTTTTGTTTCAATCTATTATTTATTGCGGTTGAGTGAAAGTATTGGATAATTTATGCAAGTTGTGTCTGATGCATTTAACTGGTATGCTTGAATTACATTGCTGAATGAATACACAGAATATTTGATGTTTAAAGGCATTTCTTGTTTTCTTGTGTACTTGGTAGTCCCAGAGATAGATTGTTGGAATGGAAGGTACACTCTCTCGCTTGAAAGGGCACATCCTGCTTACCTAATTCTGCAAACTATTCAGTGCAGGTTGGCAAGAGCCAAGGCTTGAGTGCCCCACAGAGTTTGCATCGGGGTACTGCTTGAGTATAACCAGCTAAAACCACATAGCTTGCCATTGAGAGCACTATCTGGGTTAGCACCTTCATTAGGGCTTTAGCTTGCAGGTTAACGGGAGATGAGTGGGAAGAGTCCTTGTCCCCAGTGACTGGTCTGCCTTTCAAGACCTGCCGATGAGCCAGCCTGGCTGTGCTCTCATCAGCAGTGCCCTGGAATACTTTGGACCTGCCTGGCTCAAGAACTGGATTACTGAGACTGCCACAGAGGGTGGGACATTCCTTTGCCAAACACGTCACCTTAGAACCAGTTTTTATAGAGTCAAATAATGCTATAATGATATTGAACTATTTCTCCCTGTGTTTCTTAAACTTAATAATATTGAGTTATTTAATCCTTCACTGGCCTGCAGTAGTTTATTATTTCATAAAGTGAATTGCTAGCTGAATAGCCTCTTTCTGTTCCCGTTTTCCTATGTTGTTGCTAATGAAATTCACTCAGTTATGTTATAGCGTTGGAGTTAAACACCTGTACATTTTGTCACAGTACTCAGTATAGAATTGTTCACTGTTCAGTGTTGTTTTCTTTAGCAATCACATAGTTTTGTATTTGGTGTTTTGTTGTGCTTTGCAGACTATGCATTGCCAGCCTCTGATACTTCTTGTGTGTTATGCCTAACCTCAGTAGCTGACCAATGCTCAGAACAAATTAGCAGGTACTCCTGAGAATCCCCTGGCATGGTGTGGATATTGTTACGTTTCATCATACAGAAAGTGCATTGTTTCTTGTTGGCATAAACATGTCCTGCTACTCAATATTTTGCATTCATTTTACTGTTGCTTTGTGTAGCACCTTGCACAATACATATAGTTCATACTCATGCTATTTTTAAGGAACTAATTCTGTTTAATGTTCGGTATACTTGCTCGAATTGTCATTATCTTGTTGAAAAAGGTCTTTTGGCAGGAGACCATACTTGCTTAAACCAACCGTCCACTCTTTTGTGTCCACATTCATGTCATCAAATTGCATTAAAGCACTTCACAGAATTTTATTGTTGTCATTTACAGACCAAAATGTACCAACTGACACTCTACATGTGTCCAGTCAAATCCCAGTATATGAACTTGATAACATAGAGGACCGCAAACTCACAGGTACTAACAAGAATACGTATAACACAGTTGGCAGTAGCATCATGTGACATTTTGCTGAAACTGTTTATAAATATCCCTTCTCATTTTATCTCATCAGTTAGTCAACTGTCTGCATTCACATTTCTGGTTATAGTTTGTCTTTCTTTGCATTGTATACTATTATATTTTATCCAAGAAATAGAGTTCAATCATATTTTGTGCAGCTTTATATTGTATCTTTCCAGCTTCATGTGTTGGTAGACATTTTGCTGAAGCGATATCTGTGACATGAAATGTAGGGCTCTTGCCACAAATACTGTCTCACACATTCAATTTCACTTTGCATTTCTTTTGAACTTTACACTTTTAACAAATTTACAGCAACAAATTCACATTTAAATAGCGCCTTTCATGTCGGGAGAATATCCTGAGTATCTTGCATTGAGTATAATAAATGCACAGAAACAAGCCAATTGATCTAACCAGACCATCCTGGTATACCCCTCATAAGTCCCTAAAATTCCTTACTCCCTCCCATACCCTTCTATTCCCCTCTCCCTCATGTGAAGGTCTAGCTACCAATCCATGCTGGTATACTCCAGATAAGTCTCCAACTTTCCTTACTCTCCCCTATATCTTTCTATTCCCCTCTTACGTCATGTCAAGGTCTTGTTCCCTCTTGAATGCATCTATACAATCTGATTCAACCACCACTTCAAGTTTCACAATCTCACTACACTCTGTGTGAAGCAGTTCCTCCTAAATTTTCTTTTAGATCCCCAGTTGCTATCTTATACTTGTGTCCCCTGGTTACAGACTCCCAACCAGTGGAAACAACCTAAACATCTTAACCTAACTGTACCCTTTTATCATGTTAAGCATCTCAATTTATTTGTTCTTACATGGTGTCCATAAGATGGTCAATGGACTGTTGTGTGTCTCTTGAATTTTAATTATAATTGTTTAATATAATTAATTAACATTTAGGATTGTCAATGCCCTGTTTGGATTTTGACAGACTTTTGATGTCATGCATTACTTTTCATATGACATGTTGACATGAAGCCATACAATAGTTAAAGTATCGTTGGAAGATTGCTGTAGTGCTAGGTATCACTCATCTGAATTGTTATAAGACTGATGTGAAGTATATTGGATCATTTTGGAATAATTCAAACAGATGCATAACAGCTCATAAATATATATCTCCATTGATTTAGTGAGGGAGCATTCACAGAGGTTTGTATTTGATTTCTTTGTTGTCCCTTACAGACCGTAAGCTGTCAACTGCCAACCCTCCACATATGTTCAGTGGAACCCCAGTATCTGAACTTGATAAGATAGAGAACAACAAAGGTATTCACAAGAATCCCTAAGGCAAAAGTGCCAAAGCATCATGTCTCATTTGATACAAACCTTTCATCAATATCACGTCTCATCCCAGCTCACGTGTTATTCAGTAGATTTAATTTGTGTTTTTGGTCACAGCTTTGCTTTGTATTATATATTTATTAGATTTTTCTTTAGAAAGTAAGGTTTATAATGTCTAGTCTTATATTTTATGTTACCATTTCCGTTTTAAAGCAAAATGGCTACTTTTACATCATCATATTTCACTTTTATACGTAAAAACAGCACTGCTGAACGATATTGAAATGAGCAGTGCAACCATATGCAATCACCTCCTAATTGCCAATATCTTTATTGATTATTAATGAGAGAACAAGAGATTTGTATTTGGCTTCTGTTTTGTTCCTCACAGACCATAAGCTGTCAACTGCAGGCACTCGGTATGTGTTCAGTCCAAGTCCAGTACCTGAACCTGATAAAATAATTCGCAGCGAATCCAAAGGTACTTGCCATAATACCAATGATGTGATGCAGCGTAGCATCACATAACATTATGCTGTATCTTTATGCATCGAAGCTCATGTATTCTCATCCAAATCACCCCACATATCCTTATCTGCATGCCCATCACCACCCTCCTTGTCAGGCTCCACTGCACCTTATCTCCCATCAGATCAACTTCAAGATCCTCACTCTCACCTACAAATCCATTCACTCCCTCTCAATATCTTACTCTGTGACTTTATCCAGCCTCACTCTCCTGCTCGCTCCCTCTGTTAGACAAAATTCTACCTGCTGCAGTCTACCTGCCCCTCCACCCCATCATTGAAGGCTGTCCCTTCAGCCACTCATCTCATCCCCTCTACCTTGTCACACTATATCTGACCCCTCTTCATCTGTATTGAAAAGCCGGCTAAAAATTTACCCCTTTCAACTCTCCCTATTGACTTTTTGCATGGAGTCTCTGCATTTCTCTTGTGCAAGATATTGATCAATTTGCTATGTAGCGAATGGATTTTAAGGGGTTTGCTTTTGTGAGTTGTGTTGCTAGCAATTTATTGTGCTGGTCATGAAGCTTATTACTAAGAATTGTTGAAAGAAACTATTTTATGATCATTTTATGTAGACAAGACATGCTGCTGAGATGATATCTATGATATCTATGTATTGGGTACTTGCCACAAATGCTATGCTACATTCACGCAATTTTATTTAGTACTTTTTCTGCACTTGTGTAAAGTGTATTGGGTTGTCAATTGCTCTGTGTCTTACATAGTGGTTTATTCTTCTTGCATGAAATGTATTAGATGATAAATATTCCCAAATGCCTCAAAATTTTAGGTACAGTTGTCTGCATTGTGTAAGGTCACCATGTCATATTGTATTGATTTTTGGAGATCAGGCTGATCTTACATAAATACCTTTGTCACTATAAATGGGTTAATGATCTTAAATAGTCCTATTACATCCAGAGTCTACAACGTTATCATAGATATGCTAATGGAAAGTTTATCGGATAGTTTATACATTAGAACCTAATTTGTGGTGTTTCTTAATGGGATTCCTCAATAAGGATATAATAAGACCCATAAACTTAGTGCCTAATGTGTGTCATATGCATGTTCATAGATCGTGAATATGCTATTACCTCATAAATATATTTAAATTAAAAGTTAGTTAAGTCTTTACAATATTTGTGAAGCTGAAACGTTATTGTTTGTTGAACAAACAACATGAGGTTACTTGTTCTTCTGCTCCTTGTTATGTACATTGGAACCTAATGAATTGAGCAAAGCAAATATTGGCATAAGGGTTTATAATCATCAATAATCCTATGGATTTAGTTCAAGATGTGTACACAGTTTCTTTGTTGTGCTTTTCAGACCAGATAGTACGACCTGCTGACACCCCATATGTGTTCAGTAGTACCCATGTGTATGAACTCGAAAACAGCCAATCTTCCGGAACTCACAAAAAATTCTATGACATGGGTATGAAT